CCCGCGGGCTCAGGCAATCCACTCACCTCAGCCTCCCAAAGGCGCGGGATGACAGGCTGGGCCACCGAGCCCAGCTTAAAATTTTTTATTTTAAAACTGAGGGGTACAATTCAGGGTTAGGTATCCAAATATTGCGCAGGTGCCCTTGGTGATGAGGTGTGCCTCCCCTTCCCCAGGCAGATTCCCACTCCTGCCAATCCCACCTCCCCACCCCCCACCATCCTGCAGTTTCCCGCTACTGTCAATCCTTTTCTTACAGTATGACGATAGTTGTTCTAGGTCCACTTGTGAGTGAGAACGTGTGATGCTCAGTTCTCTGTTTCTGTGTAAGATCGCTCAGGTTGCTGCGAAGTTCGTGGTTTTGTTCTTCTTTATGGCTGCATAATATTCCGTCGTGCATTTGTGCCACGTTTTTTTATTCAGTTCTCTTTCGATGGGCAGCACGGTGGGTTCATGTTCTTGCTACCGTGAACAAGGCTGCGGTAAACATACGTGCACGGGTATCTTTTTTATAGAGTGACTTGAGTTCTTCCAGGTACATTCCCAGTAGGGGGATTGCAGGGTCACATGGAAGGTCGATTTCTAGAACTTTTAGGAATCGCCACACTGTTTCCCAAGAGGCTGTACTGGTTTGCACTCCCACCAACAGTGTCGAAGCGTTTCCTTTTCCCCACATCCTCTCCAGCATCTGTTATTCAAAGGCAGGGTCGCTTTTTTCTTCTTTTGTTTGTTTTTTTCTTTCTACACCTTTTTTTTCTTCTTTTTAAATAAAGATGGGGGGCACAATTCAGGGTTAGGCGTGCAAACGTTGATTATGCAGGTCCCCTTGTGGATGAGGTGTGCCCCTCCCTCCCCTGGCAGTTTCCCTCAACTGCCAGTTCCCTTCTTATAGTGTGTTGATAATTGCCCAAGGTCTGCTGATGGGTGAGATCATGTGCTCCTCTGTTCTTTGTTTCTGTGAGAGGTCATGAGGGTGATGGACTCCATCCAGGTTGCTGCGCAGTCCGTATATTTGTCCTTCTTTATGGCTGCATGGCGTTCCATTGTGTATATGCACCACGTTTTTTTAATCCAGTCCAACTTTGATGGGCAGCGTGGTTGGTTCCATGTTTTTGCTGTCGCGACAAGAGCTGCAGCAAGCATGCGGGTGCAGGTATCTTTATGGTAGAATGATTGGGGTTCCTCTGGGTATATTCCCAACAGGGGGATTGCAGGGTCTTATGGAAGGTCAGTTTCTGGTTCTTTCTGTATATAAACCCTAATTCCATCTGTTGTTGCTTGTTTTACTCATGACGGCCTTTCTTTCTGGGGTCAGGTGGTGTCTCAGTGTGGTTTTGAGTCACATTTCTCTGATGGTGAGTGAGGCTGAGCACTTTTTCATGTCTGTTGGCTGCCCGTATATCTTTTGAGAAGTGTCTTTTTGCCCACTTTTTAATGGGGCTGCTTGCTTTTTTCCTTTCGGCATGTTTGAGTTCCTTGTAGATCCTGGATGTTAGGCCTTTGTCAGACATACAGTTGGCAAATAGTTTTTCCCATTCTGTGGGCTGTCTCCCCGCTCTCTGGATGGTTTCTCTGGCTTTGCAGAAGCTCGCCAGTTTGATGAGGCCCCGCTGTCTCTCTTCTTTCTTGAGGTGCGGAGGGTCGCGTCTTGTCCTGAGGGAGTTGAGAGCCTGTGGGGGACTGAGCAGGGGCGCGGCGTGGCGGGACGTAAACTTGGAAAGGAGGAGACCCCGACAAGGAGTCCACCTGAGCATGGGCAGGCGTCAGAGGGGCTCCTGCGGGGATCCATGCCCGCAGGGATGGCGACCCCAGGGTGGGATGGGAGGCGGGGCCAGGAGCCGCTTGGCGCCTCCCCGCAGATGCTCTTTAAGGCGGAGCTTTGCTGAGTGGGGTGTGGACGTCCGGGGGGCTCTGCGGTTTGTGTTGAGTGCCCGGTGGCAGTGGGGCCGTGGCTGGGGCAGCTGAGAGTGGGGACCGGCAGGCAGGGGTTGGCCACCGCCAGCCTGAAGCTTGTGGCTCTGAGGAAGGGGGTCGAGTGGGAGCCAGACAGCCAGGAGAGGTGCTGAATGGGGACTAGGCATGGGAGTATCGGCGTGCGGACGCAGGGGAGGCCAAGGGTCCAGCCGAGAGACCGGGGCGGGGGACAGGCCCACCCCGTAGCCACAGCCCAGGGCTGGATCCATGTCCTGTGGCTGCCGCAACAGGTGACCACACCCTTAGAGGCTTCGAGCAACGCAAGCTTGTGGCATCACAGTCACCAGTCCGACGTGGGTCTCCGCAGCCAAATCAAGTGTCTCAGGGCCGCGCTCCCTCTGGAGGGTCCGGGGAGAATGTCCCTTGGCCTCCTCCAGCCTCTAGCGGCGCCCACATTCCTCAGCGCGTGACGCTTCCTTCCAGCTTCTAGGTTGGTGGGGCGGTCCCGCCTCCTCAGGGCCGTGTCCCTCCTGCCGCCCTCTGTCACTTACAAAGACCTTGTGATCACACTGGCTGCACCGGGATCAGCCGGGAGGCTCTCCCCTCTTCAGGTCGGCTGAACTGCCGCCCTGATTCCACCCTTGACCTTTATTTGCCTCGCCCTGTCACACAGCATAGGCACGGGTTCCAGGGATGAGGGTGCGGCCCTCGCCGGGGGCCATCATCCTGCCCCCCGGGGTGCCCTGCCGCCACCACCCGCTGACTCGGGCCACACGTGCCCCCAAGCTGTGGCTGTGTCCAGCTCCAGGTCGGAAGGGCGCGGAAGAAGCCGGAGAGGAGAGGGCAGTGTGGGCCGCTGCGCCTGGGTCCAGCCTGACCCCACCCGAGCCCCCGCGGGAAGGAAGGAAGCTGAGGCTTCCTGGCACGTCCTCGCTGAGGGTAGACGTCCAGAAACACCCTAAGCGTCTGACAGGGAGGATGATAAGCCAGTGATGGTGGCGCCCACCCAGATCACGGGATATTGTTCAGTGCTTCCAAGTTTTGTTTTAGAAGATTTGTTTGATGACACGGGGACATGATTATGTTAAAAGATTCAGCGGGGTAAAAAACAGGTCGGGCTCGGTGGCTCAGCCTGTCATCCCAGGACTTTGGGAGACTGAGGCGAGTGGATTGCCTGATTTCACGGGTTCGAGACCAGCCCGGGCAACTTGGGAAGGCCTCGTCTCTACAATAAATAAAAAATGAGCTGGGTGTGGTAGCACATGCCTGTAGTTCCAGCTACGTGGAAGGCTGAGGCGGAAGGATCGCCCGAGCCCAGCAGCTCGACGCCAGGGTGGCCGTGAGCATGCCGCTGCACTCTAGCCGGGGTGACAGAGTGAGACTCCCACTCAAACAAAACAAAACAAAAGCAAAAAA